TTCTCCATTCATTCTAGTGAGCCGAGAGTGGGAGCTCAGGGGGCGGGGCTTAAGGGGTTCATGCTCTGTGAGCGCACATACGGGTTCTTCTCCTGGGCCCCGTCTCAGGTCGACTATTTTAATTTCCTCGCTCNGTTATGTGTGGGGCAGAGTCCTGCACGGGTCTGATTTTCAAGACCCGCTCCCGCCCCGCACCCGCGACGTGCAATACCGAACCCGCCCCGCTACCCGCAGTGCGGGTAGCGGGGCGGGTTCGGTATTGCACGTCGCGGGTGCGGGGCGGGAGCGGGTCTTGAAAATCAGACCCGTGCAGGACTCTGCCCCACACATAACAAGCTGTCTTTGTTCAGGCGGAAGACACATGGCATGTAATGACATCTGCTGACCAGAGGAGGGCGCTCCGTCCCAGCGCTGGGAGCAGAGGGAGGTGAGTTGCCGTACAATATGACGGATATGACGGATGACGGATGCGACAGAAATACACCCGAGCAGATATGGTACCCCGGGCAGATATGGTACCTACACCGGGGCCGTTTCTCAATCGCGAGGAAACTGGCTTCCAAGCCAATATTTCAAGGATACTATGTCATCGAGTGCCACCGAAGGACTGTTCCAATCTCCAGCATACTTGGAATTCCACCGAGACCACGTCCTTGGTTTGGGGGTAATTTCGAGGCTGCACATGGGTAGACTTCGCGTCCTTCAAATCCCCACAATGCTTTGCGCACGGACCAATTTCAAAAACCCTTGCGGAGAATGGCTGAACCGACGCAGCACAGCACACATTTAAATGTAAGTATGTAGTGGCGTAGAACATGTGTTGGTAGATATGTTACTTTGTTGCATTTGTTATCACCAAAAATGTGTTNTCTCCACCCAGGACGCGAGGATGAATCCTGCTCTGTTTCATTCTTGCCCCTCATATTACAAGAATGGACGGTTGAAGCACTTTTAGCTGCTTACACTTTATTAAACTTTTACATAGAACGTAGCATAACANCTTTACTTTCACGGAACACATTTTTGGTGATAACAAATGCAACAAAGTAACATATCTACCAACACATGTTCTACGCCACTACATACTTACATTTAAATGACATTTAAATGTAAGTATGTAGTGGCGTAGAACATGTGTTGGTAGATATGTTACTTTGTTGCATTTGTTATCACCAAAAATGTGTTCCGTGAAAGTAAAGCAAGTTCATAATTTCAGTACAGTTTATGATGAAACCGTTTGAGAGGGTGGCACACTTGTTAGCCTGTTCCATTCTTCTTTGTTTTCCGAAGCCGAGGCTTGGAAGTATACTTGCTTCGTTTCTGAAGGAAGTGACTTGGAAGTATGCAAATACCAAGCCAGTATCCTCGCGATTGAGAAACGGCCCGGTACAAGTCCGGACTGCGGTGGTTTGTGGTTATGGCTAGAAAGGATCTAGTGTAAATATGACGTCACGTTCTCGTTGTAACTCTCGTTGGAGCGGCTCGGAAACACACCTACAGCAGTAACATGCAACATACACATTAATGCAGCAGTAATATTAATAGAGAAACATCAGACATAATAATAAAACACTGAAAGGGAACATTGTATTGCACCAGGAGCTATCTTGGGACTTTTACTGCGACAACGTTGACTTGCCTGTGAATACAAAATAAACCATAGTGATCTACAGTGTTGTCAATCTTCTTTGAACACCAGCAAGACCGCTAACACCCTATTTCAACAATCACACTCCCTGTCATTGACATAATTAATAGATGGTTTAGCTTCTCACCATCATTTGCTGTGGCCATGTTAACGATCGTAACTGAAAGGCTGCCTGCCAAACGTAAACATTCAGCCACGTGACTTGCAAACTATCGCGAGAGTTTTACACTAGACGGATCCTTTCTAGCCATAACCGGGGTTTGTTGATGTATTTCGTCTTCTTCTGTTTGCTTTAATCGAGGCTACGTAGTTATGCAGCGCCCCCATCGGCAGTAAATGGAAGCACTACAAAGAACCCCGTTTGGTGCAATTATTTCACAAGTTTTGTATACACAGCTCGAAAAATATTACCGAGGTCCGGACCTCGGTGACCTCAATGGTAGATACGGCCATGAGTGAACAGTTTTCAGACATTCAGTTTCTAAGTTGTGCAAGACCCCTTCCTTGTTTAAACACAGTTCTGAGAGCCATGACATAAGAGATGGCATGTCAGGGTGAGGAATATGCTAACTAATGAGGACTTCCAAATTCCTTTAGCTCAGGCCTAATGGGGCATTTAAAGGAAGACACTGCATCTTCTGTCACATAAACCCACTCCTCTTTACACTCTCATTTGTAGGAAATGATGTTTCAAGGGGAGCACAATTAGCTAAAGCAGTGATAAAGAGCCACAGAGCTTTTTCTTTCTAAAATAATATCACACTTCAGAGCGTGCATTAATCAGTAATGCCACTACATTATAATACTCACAGGCATAATCCACCCATTGGAGCCCATTAGCACCGTTCAGGATGGGATGTGCTACATCTCAGGTGCACACATTCTTCTTCAGATCATCTCTTCATGAATTGTTTTAAGTGTCAGTGATTATTTTATATATTTCACCTTAATGAGACCATTTGTTTTTCTGCTTAAATCTGCAGTGTGATATGATTAATAACAAGCTGCCACGGTGGCTAAGAATAATTGTATCCCATCCATCTTGCTTTTGGTGCTCAGAAATGAGGTCCTGCCTCCTGGCTGCCGGCCAGGAGTGAAACGATCCGCTCCAGCCTGAGGAGAGGGTGCAGTCACAGGCCGGGATCTCCTAACTTCCCCGCTGATGCCCCCCTGCTGTTCACTGTCTCCCTATTATAATACTATGACCTCATCTCTGGTTGATCCAGTGCCTGCCCCCTGTGTGCTCCGGCCATGAATATGTATGCCAGTGAATAATAACAGGAAAATCATTGTCAATTTGCCGCTGGCTGTCTCAGCTGTGGAGCCTGTATAAAAACCAAGCTCTCCTCTTCCCTTTCCTGCATATTATTATTCCTGTTAAAGGCTAATCCTCTCACAGAAAAGTCCTGATAAATCCCCAGGGTCACATATTTGTAGACCAAGGTGACCAGGCTTTAGCAGGACAGGTGACGTTTAATTGATTTTACAAGTCATGCCGCCCTAGTCATCTGTAATATTAGTTTGAGTCTTTAAAACACAACTTATGTAATGGCACCTGGGATTTAACAGATTCCAATATTGTATATGCGTCCCCTAACACACTGTTAATAACAGAATGCTGTATTTAGCCTTTAAGAATTAAAATAGTGTGTGTCATGACAAAGGCATGTCACATAAGCCTAATAGCCTTCTGCACTCCTCCATAAAGTGTGACCAATATAACAGCTTATATATTCCTCCTGCCTCAGGCTATCTTCAAAGATAATGAGATCAGCGGTATTTCACTTTAACTAAAGGTCAAAGTATTTTAATTATGACATTTCTCTCTAACGTGAGTAAGTTGGAGGAAATTAATTCAACAGATACTGTGTGTGTTTCCACCCAACATTAACCCACATCCATTATTGCAGCTGGATATTCAGCCGAGTGTGGGCAACATATTTAACCTTTTGTTCTAAATACAAAACGTGTGTTAATGCAGGAAAAGCGTCAGACAGAGGTGAGGAGTTCAGGGACAGAGATGGCTGAACGTGGCGGGGTGTTCTGCACTCTGACATCAACTGGCATTGAAAAAACGTAATCAAATGTATTATGTCAGTCTGAAATCTGCTGGCATATTACATTTAATTAAAGTCAACGTTTCAGTTTTTCAGTTCTGTAAAACTATATACCCCACTGCCACTTTTACACCTTGCTAAGTAAACAACATGTATGATACATATTTTCAGACCTGCTTTGACAGAACAGTAATTATACCTGACTAGTTGAAAATATACTTCGACAAGCAAGACATGGTTTATTGTGAAAAAACACATTTACCACTTTACTATATGCTCCTCTCCATCACAGCCAAATATAAGCGATGGGTGCTTCCTGAATTTATCGTTACATGACCTCAAATGTGCACAGTTCCCGAGATAAAGGGGGTGGGTCAACTTCCCCACTGGTTCATCTTACCCCACTCTCCCCGATATGTTGCTTTAAAAGCAAACAGGTCTTGCACCAAAATGCTTCACAAAGGTACAGGCATCTAGATGTTTTGAAAATAAAAAGAGATTAAAATAGGACGTTCAATCACAATTTAACACAGGAATTCTGATAAACCAGCATAGCCTGTGGTTTAGGTCATGCCTTCAAACATCAAAGGAATAGTTTGATAGTTTCCAAAAAAGCTATTAATAACTTACCTATCTCTTACTTAGATTAAGATAAATATTATACAGATACTATGGTTATAATCTGTTTATTCAATTTGAAACTGGAGCTTTTCATCACTTTAGGGTTTCAAAGCAACCAGCCGAGCCGTTAGAACTGTGATTGATATTCACTGAGTCAGTTTTGTCCAAGTTTGGACCAACTTTACAACTATTTACAACCTTGTGCTAGTTGCCTAATTGCCTCTATACTCGTGTGATGTTGTTGTTCCTCCCAGATTATAGCTATTACTGTTGAGTGCAATGTCCCCAGACAATAAATTGGATATACAATAAACTAGTGAATTTGATACTATAATGACCGAAGGCTATAACAATAAGAAGCAAGTCATCATCTGTCAAACTTTGGAAAACTCCTCACTCCGAATGAATCACAGAACAAGGAGCCCTTCTAAAATTGGTTGTCTTTCCTATCTGTTGATTTGTGAAAAGCACCAGCTGCAAAACCCCAAGGGGTAACTACAACTGCTGTGTGTGTCAAATTATCATGGTGATATAAAAAATAAGTTGTGATACTTTCACCTTCATGGTGTGCCTCTGGAGTGGGTGATTAGGGCAGCCTCCAAACTGGAGTTGTTTTGTGTTGCTGCAACATCACCCAACAGGCGTGATGAGAGAAGGAGCCATGA